CAGAGCACCAGCAAACCGTATAGCGGTTCTGCACATGTGCAAGCAGCAAACTGGGCCAGAACCGGCATAAATATACTACTTATATTGAGTCATTAGGAGAGCAGGAGAGAATTAATTGTGAAGAAAGAGCAAAGAGACTCGAAGAGATTAGGTCTAGCGTTAGAGTGAGGTTAGAGGAGGCCAGTGCCAAGTTAGCAAGAAATTATAGCCTTAGGAGAAGAGATGTGCAATATATGACAGGAGAGTTAGTTTGGAGGAAAAATGTTGTATTATCTGATGCAGTAAATTACTACGCAGCGAAGTTAGCGCCGAAATATATAGGACCTTTTATAGTAAAGAAGAAGGTGTCGCCATGGACTTATGTCCTGGTAGACGAGCCAGGCAAGGATAAGGGGACATGGAACATGAAGGAGTTAGGACCATATAGGGACAATTAGGAGATAGGTATTTCACAAAACCAAGCTTTCTTTTTAAAGAGGAAGGGGTGGGGTTGTCGCGTACTGGCCACATTTGTTTCCCCTTCGTTCTATTTACCTATTTCCTTTCACTCCAACCGATAGGAGTGAAGCTTACCGACAATGATTGCACATACTTACATATGTGCATATGTACAAGTAGAATTGGATGCACTCCAATTGAGTGAAATGATTGTTTGGCGGTGGCGCATGCCGCGAAGGGGAAAAGTCTCCACTATTGTACTCCGCCCAAAAACGGTGCCGATCAAGAGCAAGATTGAAGGAAAGAGAAATGACGCGAAAGACCGCAGTAGGGGTGTCGCCTTTTTGCTCACTCATTGCGGCACTTTTGTTGTCCGCCGTATGATGGCAATGGCAAAGCCCATGTTTGTTTGTGTGCGCCGTGGTGGCGACCGCGAAAGCGCCCAATTCTGTTTTAAGGAATAACGGGCCGGCGCCAATTGATCGGGCACCAACAACAGCGGCACTGAGGCCCCATGTGTTTGCGGACCGGCGCGTAGGTTGCGGCCCAACTCGCAGCTGCGCGCCGGGGCAGAACAAAAAGAGCATTAAGTGAGGCAACACCTTTATTCCGAGTGCGTGACGAAAAATTGAAATAGTGCAGTGAAACAAAAAATCAGGAAAAATTAAGGAAACAAAAAACAAAAAAAGGATTTGTGGGCAAAAAAAAGTGTAGATAGGAATTGTGAGAGTGCTAAGCGGAGCACTGAATTATAGAGGGGGAAACAGAAAGTGTGGAGCAGCGCCAGACGGGGTAAAGTGATATCGGCACCGGAGTTGGAGCGTGTAACCCCAAGGAGCACCCCTGCAGTCGAAACGCCCACCGACCGCTCGATAAGTATTTTGTTGTTGTGTCTAGATTTGGCTATTTTTGTTGTCGGTTATCCCGACAGCTTGGGAGGTATTGCGAGTGGGTTCGCAACCGTTTGGTTGGACCTCACCAAGGTTTTGTCTTTTTAAATATTCGTGTTTTAGAATTTTCTGTTTACCTAAAATTTTCGACCCACCTTATTATTGCATACATATATATATCGTCGCTCGAACAAAGAAACAGTGTAAATGCCACATACACTATTATTCGATAATTGCACCATTGGATAGACAATCCTCTAATCTATTAGAAAAATCTTTAGTTTTCTTAAATATCTCTTTGGCTCACTAATTTATTCCCGAAAAACGAAATTGTATTTGTATGGTTTGTAATGGTTTATAAAAACTTCCAATTCGTTTTTCTCAAAACTATACTTTTCATGTTACACTATTTCATTATTCCAGCGACGATAATTAGTTGGTGCCGTTTCGTATTTTTGTCGTTGTTGTCCCTTGCTAGATTTTGTTTGTTAGGTATTTGGATTGCGTGTATATTGTCCCTTGCAAGCAACCCCGCCGTCTCCACTGAGCCAGCCGGTTGCTTGGAATTTTTCTTGTGATCTCCCATTTCTGCGTGCATTTGTTGATTTCGTTTGGCCCCTTGTGTTGTTAGACATATTAGGGTGCACAAAATTTGAAGGTGACAATATATAGTGACATAACCCCCAAGTAAAAAACTCGATTTATGCCACTTCGAGCTATGTCACGGCACCTGCGGAGGCATTCTTGTAAGATTAATTGGCTCTTGGGGCAGTAGTACACCGCATCTCGTATACATAACCTCTTTCGAAATTTCCAGTGCTTCAGATTCATTTAAAACAAGTGATCAAAAACAGACCAAACAAGAGTTAAAACAAAATCGTGCGTAGTCGTATTAAAAAATGTTTCCAATTGCGTTCAGTGTTCGGACCTTAATTCTTTGATTCTGAGTATTCAAGGACAGTGTTTAGGCTTTCATATCCTCCCACACAAGCAGATATATTGCACAAATTTATTGTTTTGCATAGGCTCGAAAATGTCCAAAATTGCGTTTTTCGGCACTTTTAAACCTAAGGTGCTCGAAAACTAGAGCCAATTTAATATATTTACGCTCAGATTCGTATTCTACGGGCAAAATCCTATAAGAATCGGCTACAATATTTCACGCAACTGAATTTTGTTGGGCAGTGTTATTATTATAGGTTATTTTTATTCAAGTGTAAAAACTTGATTAAAAGTTTTAAAGCTGTTTTTCTCACGTGTTAAATTTTTTTGAGTTTTCCATTTTTCATTCCATTTCAGTTGACGGATATTCAAAATAATTTAAGTTTTTTAAACCATAAGCCACTTTTTGCTAACTGGATAAATAATTTGCTTTCTTTTCCAGGAACAGTGTGAACGCAGCCCCAGGTGATCATTACGTTAGAATAGCATTTAGGGAAGCTGCGAATGAAATTGATTTGGCTATAAACAATACCATTGAGGCTCTTTTTATGAAACGAAATGTCACCTCAAATGGACAGCTTAATCACGGTGACCTTTTGCGTATATTCCGGTTTCCTAAAGGCGAAGCACGTCAACTTGCTCGAGCTGCTGAGATATATGAGCGAACTCTTGTAAATATAAGAAAGCACATCGAAAAAGGCGATAATCTTACCTTATCAAGTCAAAGGTATGAGTTTCGTGAACTTCTTTCTCGTGAACATTTGCATTTGGTAGCTGAACTTTCCGGCTGTGTAGAACATCGTGAAATGCCCAATTGTACAGATATGTGCTATCACTCAAAATATCGCAGCATCGATGGTACTTGTAACAATCTAAAAAACCCGTGGTGGGGTGCTTCACTGACAGCGTTTAGGCGTATTGTGCAGCCAATTTATGAAAATGGTTTTAGCACACCTATTGGCTGGACAAAAAACTTTTTGTACCGGGGATTTTTAAAGCCAAGTCCACGATTAATATCAACACATATTATTTCAACTAAACACATAACCCCGGACGAAAAAATAACTCACATGGTAATGCAATGGGGCCAATTTTTAGATCACGATTTGGATCATGCACTGCCGTCAGTTAGTTCGGAAAGTTGGGATGGTATAGATTGTAAAAAGACCTGTGAGTTTGCACCACCTTGCTTCCCAATCGAAGTGCCGCCAGAAGATCCCCGCATAAGAAATCGTCGATGTATTGATGTTATTCGTTCAAGCTCTGTTTGTGGTTCCGGTATGACATCAATCTTTTTTAAAGATATTCAACATAGAGAGCAAATCAATCAATTAACTTCGTTCATTGATGCCTCCCAAGTTTATGGTTACAGTTATGAATTTTCCTTAGAACTTAGGAATTTTACAACAGACGACGGACTCTTAAGAACAGGAGTTAAGTTTCCTGGCCAAAAGGATATGTTGCCATTTGCTGCACCTCAAGATGGTATGGACTGTAGGCGAAACCTTGACGAAAACACTATGAATTGCTTTGTTGCAGGAGACATACGAGTTAACGAGCAAATTGGTTTATTAGCCATGCATACTATATGGATGCGTGAGCATAATCGCGTTGCTACAAAATTACGTGATATAAACCCTCACTGGGATGGTGACACTGTATACCAAGAAACGCGAAAAATTATAGGAGCTCAAATGCAACATATAACTTTCAAACATTGGCTACCATTAATTATAGGGGAAAGTGGTATGCATATGTTGGGAAAATACCGAGGTTATGATCCTTATATAAACCCATCGATTGCTAATATATTTGCCACAGCTGCGTTACGATTTGGGCATACTATTATAAATCCAGTGCTTCACAGACTTAATTCTACTTTTAAACCAATACCACAAGGGCATTTATCCCTGCATAAAGCATTTTTTGCTCCATGGCGTATAGCATATGAAGGGGGAGTAGATCCCCTTATGCGTGGTATGTTTTCGGTGCCAGCGAAGTTAAAGACCCCTGACCAAAATCTTAACTTTGAACTCACAGAAAAATTATTTCAAACAGCGCACGCAGTGGCTTTGGATCTTGCAGCTATTAATATTCAACGTGGCAGAGATCACGGACTACCAGGATACAATGTTTATCGGCGGATCTGTAATCTCACCATAGCGAAAACTTTTGAGGACTTGCAAGGAGATATAAGAAGCGCAGAAGTGCGTAAGAAGCTCCAAAATCTTTATGGGCATCCAGATAATATTGATGTATGGGTCGGAGGTATTTTAGAGGACCAAGTTGAGGGCGGCAAAGTAGGTCCATTGTTCCAGTGCCTTCTTGTAGAGCAATTTCGACGATTACGCGATGGGGATCGATTTTATTATGAAAACCATGGAGTATTTCTTTCAAAGCAGCTGAGTCAAATTAAGCACGCAAGTCTCGGTCGTATGCTTTGCGATGATGGTGATAATATTAACGAAGTGACGTCTAACGTATTCTTACTGCCCAAAATGCAAGGTGGCTATAAAAAATGTGCTGACATTCCGGAAACTAACTTATATTTTTGGCAGGACTGTGGTTCATGTCAGTCTCTACCACCACTTTTGGAAACACAAGAATCAGAATTATATAGCAACCATTACCTTAAGAAGAGATCAATTCATATTTTAAAAAATATTTCTGGCAATTTACAGAACTCATGGCATTCTAACGAATCGCGGATAAGCACTTTAGAAGAGACCATCTATAGGCTTGACAACGAGCTTAATGAATATAAAAAAAGAGTTAAGAAGCTGGAAGATGAAATTTTGTAAATAAATTTTTTCTGCACTATTAAATAATAAAAGCATATTTAAAAATAATTTAATTTTTATTTTTATGTAATAGTACTTTAGGAAAGAAACTATTTTTACTTTTGAATTCATAATGAGATTATCTGGTTAAAATTATTATTGTGTAAATATACCCACATAACCACATAAGCTGATAACCAGGCAAGCGTGGTCAATATCAATGTTCTACTGCATGCGTTGCCTCTCCTCGCAAATGAGATCATGAAATTGTTGAATATAATTGTTATACGGCCATAAATAACAACAAATAACATAATTATATATATTAATATTTTTTAGACAAGCGGCCAAAACTCATAAATTTACTGCTGGGCGGCCGTGCTACCACTTATTAGTGCAAATCATTGTCTGCACATAACTGCTACATCGGCGTACGCAGGTACGGGGTGGGAAGCTAAATTCCACTAGAGCTGTCAAACTATCGACGATACTATCTATAGTATCGATAGTCTGGTCACATGAAATAACTATCGATAGTTTTAGTACTATCGCCACTATCGTTTCATTGATAGCGTATTCTCTTTCCTAGCGCTTTTGACATTTGCACGTATTGGTTCAAAGAGAACAAAACTTGGCAGCATTATTTCCTGAACGAACAAATAAAGATCACCCAGAACGGAGTGCGAGAAAAAAGTATTTTTTTGCATTGACGTCATTTTTTCTCCGCCATGTGAATGAAACGGAATGAAACCGTGTGTGTGAATGAAACAACCGATTAAAAAATGACGTTATCAACTATTATATTTTTTTTCTCAAATGCAATTACAAATACACGGTTGCCTTGATGGGTGATTTGTTTAGTTGGTTCATGGCATTATTTCTAAAAGCGTAATTTTTTATTTTAAGCGTGGAAATAGCAGAGGCAACATTGCCGTTTAAAGAGCGTGTCAGACGTGGCAATGCAGTATATTTCAAAAGACTGTCAAATTGAGAAATTTCAGAAAGCAGTCTCATGAGCAGTGGCACCTTGCATGTAAAGTGTCTTTCGAAAGAAAGTTTTTTATTTCCGAAAGGTGAGTTGAAGGGAAAATTTCTGAAATCGCTTTTTGACTTTTTACACGCCGAATGAAGTTCTAGCAATATTTCTCGATACTAAAATGCAATAGTGAGCCGCTAAAATGAACAAATTCTAAAAGCAAGATAACGAAAAATAAATGGATTTAGAAAAACATATGAAATGGGTCGATACTATCGATAGTCACTGTTCCAGGCTGGGCGAGGGAGAAGAAAAAGACTAACTGCTCTGCTGGTTTAAGTGCAACTGACTCCACATTATGTGAAGCGTTTATCTATATCTATACTATATATAAAATTCAAGCCCAAAAGAGCGTGAGAGCAAAACAGCCGATTTACTGGGTCGATTTCTATGATTCAAGTTTTAAAATGACATATTTCTACCACAGCACGAAACAGTGCTATTTTTAAAATAAAATTTTAATAATAAGTATGTTTAATTAAAGTATTAAGTTGGTCAACAATACCACGCATTGCTAGACCGTTTGCCTTTCACGCGTTTGTGTTTAGAGCGCATCAACAAACCACATACACAGTGTTGCCATTTTGATGCTTTTGGAGCTAGTTTTAGATCTTCATTTTTCTATTTAGCTCCGAAAATTGGGTTTTAGCTCCTAGCTCTTTTTTTAGCTCTTTTCAAATTTATCTAGCACTTTTTTAGCTCCAAAAAGTTTTAGTTGATTTGGTATATATAAGCCAAAACTTAAGCGTTGATAAAATGGAAATTTTGAGTTGCAGTGTATCCACCATAAATCTTGGATATAGGTTAAAGAATTCAAAAATTAATTAGAAGAAAATCATTTGGAAGGGCAGATTTTGTTTTACCTTACTAATTCTACCTTTAAGGACAGCTGGAAGTAAAACTTTCCAGAAGAATTTTGCGAAAAAATTATTCAAATATCTGAACTTACAGACTTTAACAGTTTGTAAAGAATTTTTATTTCACTGTTATAGGTGCCATAGCAACGAATTCGAAATATATGCACCTTATTTTGGTTTTAAAAGATTTTTTCAGCCCTTAAACTTATAAAATTTGTTGTATTTATTAAAATTACCGAAAATGTAAAAACAACCTTACGTCAATAAATGCTCAACCTTAACAAAAATATATAGCTCTCCATGTTAGCTATTATTAGTATTATTTAGCTCCTTTTAGCTCTTTTTTTCGACAGGTTGAGCTCCAAACTAAATTTTTCTCTGGCAACACTGCACATACATACATATATCTATCTATTCTTTTCTCTTTTTTATACTCAGCTAGCACAGCGCAAAAATAAAAAAAAGAACCTTTGCCAGCTTCAAGCTTAAATTAGTGGTGACATACCATAACGCCATAGCCATAACCATTGCCATAACCGTAACCACATTAACTATCATCGATTATAGGTGCCATAACCATAAACAGCTGATTTTTCGTAGTCAACAATGTCGGTGTTGCCAGATGCGGAACAAGACGCGGAAAATGTGTAATATCGTAGGATACTTGCGCAGAACTTCTTTCACTATCACTAAATTAACACTAAATTCGAAAAACTCAACAGCAGATTATAATAATTTATGTACATCAAATTAAAGGAATAACTTGTACTTTCTTAAGAATATAAATTTTGTTAAAAAAGGTTATTTCATGAAAAAACACGAAATTTCTTTTCGTTTTATTAGTCTTTTTGGATTAAAAATATATTAAAGCATATAACTTATGCACATCAACTGAAAATGAATTGTCTTTATTTTGGCGTCATTCGTTTTTGAATCGGTTATGGAGTTCATAAGATATTAATATTTCAAAAAATAAAAAAAATTTTGATTTAACCTTTTATATCTTTTTTATATTTTTGCGCCAACTAATTTTGGTACGGTTGAAATCGGCGTGACAAGTTCTATCAAGCCACATTTTTGGTTTTTGCATAGCTAAATGCAAATGGAGCGCAATGGGGTATAGTCATTGCGCTGGGTATGCAGTTACAGTTGCATGGCTATACTCAATCCCGACTCTTGCGTCCTCGTTCGCGCACTCTGGGCAACGTGAGCAACCCATGTGCGAGATGCGGTAACCAATCCGAGTGGAGCCTTGGGTCACGGCAGAAAGAGAGGGAGCTTCGGTGGGGCCACTCTGACTTGTCTGCAGCGTCTGTTCACCAGTAGGTGCGGCTGCAAGCGGGTGTCTGCTTGGAGCAAGCGGCTCGCTATATAAACGTGTATTTGGTTGCGAAACCACCCCCGTCCAAGCAATGGGTTGTGCGCTGGGCTTGGGACCCGCCACGTAAAAACCACTTCCAGTGAAGAAGCAAGGCAAAGCCTCGGATGAGACCCCCCCTTATGATGGCGACCACGGCAAACGTTTAAAGTACTACGATTTGAGGGCATGCACCTGGAATGTCCGGACACTTAATGGGGAAGGTGCCTCTGCCCGGCTGGTTGATGTCCTCGTAAGGACAAAAGCTGACATCACCGCCATCCAAGAAATGCGTTGGACGGGGCAAGGCAAACAATGTCTGGGGCCTTGCGACGTCTACTACAGCTGCCATGTAAAGGAGCGCAAATTCGGAGTTGGATTTGTGGTGGGAGAGAGACTCCGTCGCCGAGTACTGTCGTTCACCCCGGTGGACGAGCGTCTAGCCACAATCCGCATCAAAGCGAGATTCTTCAACATCTCGCTCATCTGCGCCCATGCCCCGACGGAAGAGAAGGATGAGGCATCCAAGGATCTCTTCTATGAGCGCTTGGAGCGCACATACGAGCGCTGCCCCCGTCATGATATCAAAATCGTGCTTGGCGACTTCAATGCCAGGGTGGGCAAAGAAGGGATCTTTGGAACCACCGTCGGAAAATTCAGCCTTCACGACGAAACGTCCTACAACGGATTGAGGCTGATCGACTTCGCCGGGGCCCGAAACATGGTAGTATGCAGTACTAGGTTCAAGCATAAAAAGATCCATCAAGCTACCTGGCTGTCTCCGGATCGAAAAACGAGAAACCAAATCGATCATGTTGTGATAGACGGAAGGCACGCTTCCAGTGTTTTAGACGTACGCACACTCCGAGGCCCAAACATCGACTCGGACCACTATCTTGTTGCAGCCAAGATACGCACCCGCCTCTGTGCAGCAAAAAATGTGCGCCCAAATATGCAAGGAAAGCTTAACGTCGAAAAGCTGCAATCACAACAGACAGCCAGCGCTTTCGCTACTCGACTCTCACACCTGCTCACAGAGAGCACTCTTCAACAAACCGACATATGCGAGCAGTGGAACCACATTTCCCGCTCATTAAGTACCGCCGCCGAAGAACTAGTCGGATTTCAGCGAGCCTGAAAGAACAACTGGTACGATGAGGAGTGTCAGGAAGCTGCAGAGAAAAAAGATGCCGCCTACAGGGCCACGCTGCGATCGGGCGCAACGCGCGCTATGTGAAACCGCTATAGGGATCTGAAGAGGGAAGCGAGACGTATTTGCCGCAACAAGAAGAGAGAGGCCGAAATACGTGATTGCGAAGAGCTTGAAATGCTGGCAGACAGGAGGAATGCCCGAAAATTTTACCAGAGAGTTAGGCGTCTTACGGAAGGTTTAAAGACCGGGGCGCACTCCTGTAAGAACAATAATGCGACCTAGTAACTGATGTCCAGAGCGTACTTAAATTATGGAGGGAACACTTTTCCGCCCTACTTAATGGTAGCAGCACGGAAAGTTGTGGAGAAGAAGAACCCGAGCCCGCAGTCGATGATGACGGAGTCGACGTTCCACCGCCTGACTATGACGAGGTACGTATAGCAATAACGCGGCTGAAAAACAACAAAGCCGCTGGAGCTGACAGCCTGCCAGCTGAGCTATTCAAGTACGGCGGCGAGGAGTTGATAAGGTGCATGCATCAACTCTTGTGCAGAATATGGTCAGATGAACGCATGCCCGACGACTGGAATTTAAGTGTGCTCTGCCCAATCCACAAGAAAGGTGACCCGACATTCGCGCCAACTAAC